TAATTAGCTGAAATTGAACAAATTAGCCACATTATTGAATGAATTGCAAGAATAATGAATGTAACCGCATGATTTGGTAAGAATAAATGTAATTTAAATTTTTTTTATTCCCCAACAGGTAACTAAAGTTTTCAGGAACTTCGAAAAAATTAAATTATTTAGTGTTTCCTCCCCTGAAGACAATTAAATTATTTAGTGTTTTCCTCCCATGGAAGACAATTAAATTATTCAGTGTTTTCCCTCCCATGAAAGCAAAATTAAATTATTTAGTGTTTCTCCCATGGAAGACAATTAAATTATTCAGTGTTTTCCTTCCATGGAAGACAATTAAATTATTTAGTGTTTTCATCCCATGGAAGACAATTAAATTATTCAGTGTTTCCCATGGAAGACAATTAAATTATTCAGTGTTTTCCTCCCATGGAAGACAATTAAATTATTCAGTGTTTTCCTCCCATGGAAGACAATTAAATTATTTTTAGTGTTTTCCTCCCATGGAAGACAATTAAATTATTGCAGTGTTTTCCCTCCCATGGAAGACAAATTAAATTATTGAGTGCTTTTCCCATGGAAGACAATTAAATTATTTAGTGTTTTCCTCCCGGTGGAAGACAATTAAATTATTTAGTGTTTTCTCCTCCCATGGAAGACAATTAAATTATTTAGTGTTTTCCTCCCATGGAAGACAATTAAATTATTTAGTATTTTCCTCCCATGGAAGCAAATTAAATTATTTATATTTTCCTCCCGTGGAAGAGAATTATATTATTTAGTGTTTTCCTCCCATGGAAGACAATTATATTTAGTGTTTTCCTCCCATGGAAGACAATTAAATTATTTAGTGTTTTCCTCCCATAGAAGACAATTAAATTATTTAGTGTTTTCCTCCCATAGAAGACAATTAAATTATTTAGTGTTTTCCTCCCATGGAAGACAATTAAATTATTTAGTGTTTTCCTCCCATGGAAGACAAATTATTTAGTATTTTCCTCCATGGAAGCAAATTAAATTATTTATATTTTCCCCTCCCGTGGAAGAGAATTATATTGTTTAGTGCTTCCCATGGAAGACAAATTGTAGAAGATGCTTTTAGTGTTTTCCTCCCATGGAAGACAATTTTAATTATTTAGTGTTTTTCCTCCCATAGAAGACAATTAAATTATTTAGGTGCTTTTCCTCCCATGGAAGACAATTAAATTATTTAGTGTTTTCCTCCCATGAAAGATGTAATTAAATTATGAAAATTTCAAAACATTTCAAAAGCGTATTTTAATGACTAAAAACAGAAAATAGGAAATGGAGTTTTTTTATCATTATGTTCTTCCAGGAGTTATATTTAAAAATAACTTTGTTATTTCCCGATCTTATTGTTTCATTTATTGTACCCAGTTTTTAACGATCAATTATAAAAGAGCTACATTTATAATCTTCAAGAAACATTGGACAAATTGAAAATGCAATGCATTACCTAGATGAAAGCCAGACTTCCATACGAATAAATATAAAGATTTCTTTCCAATTTAAGATAAAAGATTTCCACCAGAGACATCCCTCTTGTCAGTCTTAAGGAAACGATTTGCCACAATGACTTTTTACCAAACTGTAACAAAAAAAAAAAAAAACCATATGCCAAGACAAAAAGGACTGCCTCGTCATCACATCTTACCGATACTTTTGTATCCTGGGGCAATGGTGCCATTTAAACTAACTTTATATTTTTTATCATTGACGTTTGGGTTAAAAGTGATAAAGAACAAGATCTTAACACGTTCTTTTAGAATTTATGTTTTGTGTTCTTTTTCCACAAAAAAAAGAGTGGGGACTTTTCTCCGTGCTGTTTTTTTTTTTTCTCCCACATGACAGTTTCTTTTCCCCAGCCAACTTTTCTTTTCCAAATGACAAAAAGTTTCTTTTGACATAAGAACCTAATTTTTTGACAATGACTAAAACTTTGTTTCAGAAAGAGAATAAATAATAGCTTCTGCTCAAAATTTAACTACTTGAGACCGATATTAATAAATAAATATTAACAATGATTTATTGCCAAACTTCTAATAACTATTTTTATCCAAAATACATTGTCATATATCATTAGTAATAACTGTTGATTTTCAAATAGGTTACAATACATGCGCTTAAAATAATGCATGTACTTAATATAGTGGAAAATAAAGAATGGAACATTATAATGCAATTGATATTTTGAACGTCTAAATTACATATATAAACAAAGATTGCTTTTTATAATCATTGATATTTCATGAAGACAAGTGTTTGGTAGTAAATAATGTCACTCAGAACAGCAACAATAAACTTGCTATTGTAAATTAATTTCACATTCAAAGTAACAAGTACGGAATTCAATGTCAAATCATTAAATCTAAGCTATATTTTCGTTTATGAGGCGATATATATGGCACAAGAGCCTGTTATAGCCAAATGGTGTCAAACAATTTGTAATGTTACGGCAAGACAGAAAAGTAATCAAAATGCAGAAACAATTAAAAAGGGCATTGACAAAAAACTTAATTAACTTACATTTAAAATTATTTATTGTGTTAATATATCGTGAAATAAAAAGTAAATATTTCGAGTTAACGGTAAATACAAATAAATTTTGCACATAAGTCTACACCCATATTCTTTTTTAAAACCTAATCTACAACACAATTGAGTAGCATATATGATAGATATTGAATCTGACTGATTTTGATTCTAAATCAAATTGGGTGGATGGCGACATTTTTATTTTTCCTTTTCATTTTGTTGGCTTTTGAATTTTGTTTATTGTTCAATGTGTTTCTCTTTATTTCATGGGTAAATGATCTTTGAATATAGCTTGTTTTTAAAAATGTGCTTTGTCTCCGAGTACTAGGGCTTAGCAAATGTTGATGGTACATATAAAAAACAGCAAAATTAGTTGAATTTTGGGATCTGATGGCCATGTGACTAGCTCTCTGGTGCTTGATGCCACAGGTGTCGGGGTCGAGTCCCGGCGGTGAAATGGATGTTTGTAGTGGTTCGAATCCTTTTAACCATAGGTAGGTGTTGGTCTAATAAGACTGTTGCACGAAAGGGCTGACAGCCCTACCCGTAAAAAAAAAAAACATCTCGAAATCTGCCAGTAGGCAGACGGCCTCGGCCCAACATGGGGCTGTTTGCGCCACTGATGAAGATGAATTATTGTATTTTTTAGTCTGGAAGACGAAATAGGCGTAAGATTCTGAAGGTGCGGTGAAATTGTTATTCTAACAATATAGTTTATAGTCTAGGTGGAAACTGAACATTTTCGTAGTTGTTTGCTGATGGTTTTAATGGTACAAAAGCCGGATTTCACCGAACTCCACTAAATTGTAAAAAGCAAATAAACGAAGTACAAAATTTTGAATAAAAGCAATAAAATAATTAACCAAGAAAATTAAAATATATCAGTCCAAGACCATATCTTATACATCGCCTGCATATTCATGAGACCTATCAGCTGACAGATAGATGTTCAGATTTTAAACGGACGTTTTATCAGGTTTTTGTTAAATCTTTTGGTTTTAGGATGCAATTTGTCTAGTTTTTTGCTCGATTAAATGACCTTTCGTCGTTGCTTTCTTGCGGACCTAACATTTTGTTCTTTTGAGGTAAAAATGCACTTTTATTATTGGTTTTAGGGTTAACAGGTAGTTGGAGTCTGCTGATGACGAACAGTAGCAGAGGTAAAAATAGATGTAGTAGGTATAAAATTGAACTGATGAAGCAGAGTCATCAGCTGATTTTGAGTGGAAAGTGACTTTATCCGTTCAAGTGGGGGACAAATAATTTCCGTTACGGTAGCGTCGTGGAAATGGAACAAATTGATTTAGCTATTGAATGAGTAGGTTACCTCAGCGTAAGAGAAAAGAAAATTGTAGGGCTACTTATCGGACTTCAGAATGAGGTTGATTATGGGTTACTTATTTCCCGAATTTCCTTCTCTATTTGAAAATTTGGTTACGATTTTGGGTTACCGGGATGTGGTTAATCGCAATTAACACATTTTGACTCAGACTAATATTCTCTACAACAGATGGGCTGAAACGTTCGTTGGCTGACACATAGATGGCGCTACTAGTATTAAATCCTTATTATTTTTAGTTAGCCCTAACCTTCAAAAAGACGAGTATAAATTTGACAGCTGTTGCACTATTAGTATGCGAGTTATAGCATTTTTAGTGTTCATCACGAAGTCCACTCGGCTGACTGTCGATTGAACTCCGGTGTGAAATGATGGGGCCTTGTTTCATCCATTGTCACATATCGACACAAAAATTCGGGTTTATTACGATTGAACAGCTCCAAACACTGCTTAGAATCATCAATTCGTTGTTGTTTTGGGTCGATTGTGAGCTCGCGCGACACCCACTTTGAACAGAGCTTTTCGCATATCCAAATATTCATTCACGATATTTCCAACACGTTCCTTTAATATCTTTAGGGTCTCAGCTATCTCAATCAACTTCACTTTACGGTTATCAGAAATTATTTTGTGAACTTTTTTGATGTTTTCGTCGGTAACAGCCTCTTTGGGGCGTCCACTACGTGCATCGTCCTCGGTGCTCATCTTCCTTGTTTAAATTTAGCAAACCACTTCTCTATGGTAGATTTTCCTGGGCAAAGTCCGAATAATGTTTATCAAGCCAAGCCTTGGCTTCAATAGTATTTTTTTCCGCCAAAAGCAATGCTTTATTAACACACGAAATTCCTCTTTATCCTTATTTTCAACCTAACAAAAAGTTGCTTCACTAAAAATGCTGGTGCTCGCATACTAATGGCAACGGTCAAATTTATACACGTGTCTTTTTGAAGGTTAGGGCTAACTAAAAATCATATGGATTTAATACTAGTAGCAGCCATCTATGTGTCAACCTACGAACATGTCAGCCCAACTGTTAAACTCCAGAAATGACAAAATTTAAATAATTTTCCTATAATATCACTGCACTACACAAATAATTTTGCATCAGAAAGTCTGGGAAGGCGAATCCGCGAATGGCTCATTAACTCGGTTATGGTTCCTTAGATCGTACCTTACTACATGGATAACTGTGGCAATTCTAGAGTTAATACATGCAGCAGAGCTCCGACCCGGGAACGAGCGCTTTTTATTAGACCAAAAACCAATCGGGCCTCGGGTCCGTTCTCCGTGGCTCTGTATAACTTTGGGCTGATCGCACGGGCTCGTCCCGGCGACGTATCTTTCAAGTGTCTGCCTTATCAACTGTCGATGGTAGGTTATGCGCCTACCATGGTCGTAACGGGTGACGAATAGGGTTCGATTCCGGAGAGGGAGCCTGAGAAACGGCTGCCACCACATCCAAGGAAGGCAGTAGACGCGCACATTGCCCACTCCCGGAACGGGGAGGTAGTAACGAAAAATAACAATACGGGACTCGTGAGACCCCGTAATTGGAATGAGAGTACACTTTAAATCCTTTAACGAGGATCCATTGGAGGGC